CAATTTAATGAAAAACGCGGCCTGGCTAATTAATGAATGAATATTAGCTGTAACATTTTTATCAATGCTATAAGTGTAGCTTCCAGTTTGACCGCCAACTTTGATGTCATTCCTTTAAGTCGCAAGTTTAATCCCTTTTTTGGCCGCACCTTTTTTTTCACATATATAGTGACGTTACTGACAGTTATTTACTAATAGTTTCAGTATTATTTCATAAAGTTGAGACATTATAACTCTATAAGAAAAAAATGGTCAGAAAATTATCAATATTTTAATGTAAAACAAACCTTTATTTGAATGCTTTACCGTTAACCGATTTGAAAGCAATATATATATATATATACTGTAATGAAATAGACAAAACGATAGCTAACTTTTCATCACTATGCTTGAAAAGATACATTTATGTTAAATAAACTTTTTTTATACAAATTCGAATGTACATAACTAAAAAACATCACAAGTTGTCGATATTTATGTTTTGTGAAGGGAATTTTGAACGATGCAACGGTAAAGCTAAATACTTTATATATTTTAATATGCAGCTTGTAATACATAACAAGAATTAGGGTGATTGATGTTTGGTGAGAGAATAAAATATCATCTTCCTCTTTAATTCATGCTAAGATCGTAACCTCAGAGTGCGTTTCATTATGATCTTCAAAATATTTTCAGATGCAGTACATCCACATTTAACTTTCATCTAACATTTCTGTCTGAATATCCGTCCCCTCTGAGGAGTTCCATCCTTATAAATAGACTTATATACTTTTTTAACGGACCATCACAATTATTGTGCTCCTTTCGTAGAGTATATTTCTTCTTCAGTCAAATTTCAGTTCATAAATGCCCCCAAAAGGTTTAATATGATAAACTAATAATATTAATCTAATAAAACAGTAAGGCGTTACGAGTGAGAAACGTTATTGAAAATATCTTAAATCCATGTATATGATTATTGGAAAGTACGTATAGATATATTAAGTAGTTATAGTTCTTGCTTAATTATTATAAATGTTCCTGTATTTATCTATTATGGTAATACCTGTGAAATGATTGTAATTTGTTTTTGATATCCAACATCGAACTGGTTAGTAATTTAAATAAAAGTTAATTATTCTACACTGTAGACTTAAGTAACGATGAGATCATTTCCGAAATATTTTTCGATGCTTACAACTGAAATAAATGATTTTCCCTAAAGTTCGTTAGTCACAAACATAACTGGTACTTGGTTTATAAATATCTTCAGTCTAATTGTGGTTCCATCTAGACCTTTATTCTAATATTTTCATTTTGTAACTTATTTATATTTCTTATTATTGCATATACCTTTAATTGCTTTAGAGTTTAATATCTCAGTACTTGTAGTATACAAGTGAAGATAGAGAATGAAATTAGGATTTTCGTGACGTCAAACAAGTCACGTTTTCTATCTGTCTTATTTTTGGATGTTGTTAGTTGTTGTTGGTTTTTTAACACAAAGCTACGCAATGGACTATTTGCGCTCTGTCCATCGAGGGGAATCAAACCACGGATTTTAGCATTGTAAGTAAAGAAACTAACCGTTGACCCATCGAGGGATTTTGCCTTTGAAAGGGGTGAAATAATTATTCTTCAACCAATCCACTCGCCTAGGCATCGCTAATAGTACTAACTATATAAACGTATTCTTATCTGTTACAAAAGATTAAAATATTAGCATTAACATTTTTGTTTGTTTGTAGATAAGCGCAATGCTATACAATGAGCTATCTGTATTTAACACTATAACAATAAGCAACTGAGGGGGGAGAGCTAATATTAAGATAAACAACAGCTTAAAGCTCCAACTCATCGTTTCCTAATTCTATATAATCCTGGTAGTTGAAGACAATATTTTCCTTGCTTAATACTTCTTGTAGGGTGAATTAATTAAATTTGAATTAGAAATTGTACTTATCACATAATTTTCTGATTGATAAATATTCTGTTTTGTAAATTTATTACATCCTTAGAACTCCCCACAGATTACGCCGTCGTTTTCTTGGCTATTATCAATACACTCTGAGCATTATTGAAAATTTAAAATTTTTATCAGTCAACGGAAATTACGTAGTTGGTTCCT